AATATGGGATTTCAAATATTAGCTATATATATTACTCAACAGTGAGATAAACTGTATCCACACCACAACGAATAGTAATCAGTCAGTGGATAATTGTGTAGAAGGAGTGGTAAGGAAAATCATGGGGCAAAAACTGAGTGAGATGAGGCAGGAGAAGTAATCACATTGGGCCAGATCACATTGGGTCTGGTAGACCACTTGTCTACAAAAAACTTCGAGTTTTATTTGATTGAAATGGGGACCCAGTGCAACATTTTTGTCAGGAGGGAGGCATAAATGTCTTAAGAGGATACTTAGCTGCTGTGCTTAGAAGAGACTACAGGGGTTATAAGAGAAGGTGGGGGGAAGTCAGGAGGTTATTGCAGTAATGCAGACAAAAGATGATGATGGCTTGGACCAGACTGGTAGTGGTGGTGTTGGTGAAGAACGATTGGATTCTGATACCTTTTGAAGAAAGAATCAAGAGTATTTCCTGACAAATTGAAAGGGGAACAGCACAGCTGACTCCTATTTTTAGAGTCTGGCCTAAGCAACCAGAAAGATGAGACTGGTATCCACTGAGACGGAGAAGCTCCAAGATAGCCTAGGTTTGGGGAAGAAGGATCAAGAACTCCGTTTGGGACATGCTGAGCTGGAGAGTTTGGTTAAGCATCCAAGTGGACATATCAAGCACAGAGCTGAATATACTAATCTGGAATTTATGAGATGGGTCTAGGCCAGAGACACACACTTGAGCATTGTTGGCATGTAGATAGATGGTAGTGAGTTGCAGTGAAGCTGATGACTATTCTTTTCCCAAGACTCATTTCATCTTGTTTTCGTGTAGATCCAAGAAGTGAAATTTCTTCCTTTCTCTCTTCTCCCTCCATCCCTTCCATCTCTCTGCCCTCTCCTAATGACTCCTTGCTTCTGCATAGAATAGGACCATCCATCCACATCTTTGGTCCCTTGTGCTTTGCTAGTTTATTCCTCTATCTCTACTCAGCTTCTCCAGTACAGTGGCTGCCACACTTTGTTGGGATTTGGGCTTGAGCCACAAAATGAGACAATGAAGCTAAGAGATGCAGGAAGTGAACTCATGACCTTAGATTTGGAAGACTGAGAAATCGGAGACCGCAGATTTTTGCACAAGTGCCCACAGAGTTGGGTGTTAATCACACGCCTACCTTCAACAAAACCCTCATCATAAGTACAAGTTTATTTACTCTGTATATCATGAGGGACAAATGCTTGCTATTTTAGAGAGGATATGGTAGAACCAGGAGAATTGCATTTTGCCTTCAAATAGTGTGTGCTTTAGTGGGGGAAGTCATGCTAACTCTAAGAAACCACACGATCTATTTAGGAGAAAAGAATGGGACGATGGATGGGTAGAGAGGTTGGTAAGAAATAAATTACTCTTATTTGATGATCACATTTTAGATTAAATGTCATACTATCTGTGAAGTCTTCACTAATTCCCCATAAGAATGGTTAATGATCCATAATGATGGACCAGAAAATAACTCTCACTATTTTATAAGATTTATTACTTCAATATAAGGCACATTCTTTGTAAAAAAAAAAAAAAAATCAAAACAAACTAACCAAAGAAAATTTCATGACCAGAGATGACCATTGAGATTGTCCTTTGGATATTTTTTCTATGCATACATTTATTTTACAAAAATAGATATCATGTTATACTTCTCTGTAGCCTCTTTTCTCACTTGACAATAGAGCTGAAGAGTTTTCCATGTCAGTCAGTATCTCCCCATGACATCATTTGGATACCTGCCTATTTTGAACATCATGGCTGAACCATGATGATGGGGATCGTGGCTTGTTTCATTTTATCACTTTTCAGCATCTGGGCCAATGACAAGTAATAGGATGTTCTGGTCATCACAGACTATTAGAGAGTTTAAAGTTCCTTCAGGCAACATCTAGCTAATTTCCTATTTTTCTGATGGGCAAGTTGAGGCTAAAAATATTAAATGGATGGACAGGTCAGATGGTCAGAAAGCTGCAGAACCAGAGGCCTCTGGGTGGCTCAGTAGGTTAAGCGTCCGACTTCGGCTCGGGTCATGATCTCACGGTTCATGAGTCTGAGCCCCGTATCAGGCTCTGTGCTGACAGTTCAGAGCCTGAAGCCCGCTTCGGATTCTGTGTCTCCCTCTCTCTCTGCCCCTCCCCTACCCATTCTCTCTATCTCTCTGTCTCTCAAAACTAAATAAAAATTAAAAAAATAAAATAAAATAAAGAAACCAAGCTGCAGAACCAGAACTGAAACCAAGTGCCTGGACTCTAAGCCCAGTGTCCTTTCAGTACAACATCCGGAACCTGAGTCAACCCAACATCTGTGAAATTGATGTGTAATATAGGAAGAGGGTATAGTTAGGCAGGAGAAGTTTGGGGAGGAGATGACAGCAGGGGTCTTTTGTGGTTTTTTTTGAACTTTCAATTTTACTTTAAACCCTGAGACCCCAGAGTTTCATAGAGGGGTGCATTTGCAGGGTGAGGTGTGGAAAGGAACTCATGAGGTCAGGTTTGCAAAACCCACAGTTGTACAATAGCTCAGATCTAGCCAACACCCTGAGAGGTGCCAAAAAACCCTAGGAGAGTGTGTGGCCACCCCGGGTCTCAATTCTGGTTTTGCATCATATCTGAAGGCTTCCCATCCCTCAGCAGTGAGCCCTATGAAACCTACTAACATTTCAACTTTACTCACAGTCAGGGATGATTTTAGGTGTTGATTTTGGCAACCCAAAAGGTCTCTGGCTTCCTGGAAACGCTCTCTAAGCCTCAGACCACACTCAACAGTGAATGAATAGCAAAGAATGCTGGGAGTTCCAGCCTTCTGTGGGAATAAGGCACGTTTTCACTGGCATGATCTACCTGAAGTGCACACCTGGCCAGGCCACTTCTTAAACTTTCCCATGGCCTCCGGGTAAAGTCCCATCCCTCTGTGCGGCACATAAGACCCTCCACAACCTGGCCTTTGCCCACCTCTGTCTCCTCTCTGCTATTTTGTCTTCACCAACACAACTTCCCATAGGTCTTTGCACAGAACCATCCTAGTTTTCATCTGATTCCTACTTTCTGGAATGCTCTTCCTCTTCTTTCATCCATGGCTAATCTCACTGATCTGGGTTTGGTCTCCTCTCTATTTAAATAACTCTCAAGTTGTTTCATCTGTGCCAGCTTCTGAGATATTCTTGGCAATTTTCAGACACATGGTTGGACTTTCTCTGAAATGTATGAGCGCATCTACGATCAATGTCACTGCCCCCAGGGGCATGGTTCAAATCACTGGACACCTGCTAAACATGCTGCATGTATAGCAGGGAGCAACTAATTTACCAGATTTAGAATCTAGAAAGGGCCCACTGCTTATTTTCCTCAGCTGCAAATTATTTGTATGGCATAGATGGCTTTCTCTAGCACCGCACTTTGGATATTTACTTAAATGTTGGCAGTGATAAAATGGTGGGTAAGAAATTGCACATTCATCAAAAGTAGGCGGCCTGATAGAAGTGCATAAACACGGTACTCATCTCAAAATTAAATTACCATATGTACATGGTTTGGCTTGTCATTTATGTACTTGTATATTTATATACCCATCATCCTTAATCACCTACAAGAATGAATGAGTGCATTTAAAAACAAATGTTTGCAACATAAGCTAATGGTTAATTGAAAATTTCTTCTTGGAGGAGAAATCTGAAAGGCAATCCCAGAGAAAACAAAAGCATTTTAAAGGAACAACAAGACTCGCTAACACCACACAGTTTGATTTTAGCTCAACCTAAAGGTAAATCCTGGTGAGATGTCCCAAAATTCTTCTTTAAAAAAAAAAAGTTTATTTGTTTTGAGAGGGAGGGAGGGGGAGAGAGAGAGAGAGAGACAGAGAGAGAGAGAGAGAGAGAGAAAGAGAATTCCAAGTAGGCTCCACTCTGTCCCCACAAAGCCCAACATGGGGCTCGAGCTCACAAACTGTGAAATCACGACCTGAGCTGAAAGCAAGAGTCAGAAGCTTAACTGACTGAACCAACCAGGCATCCCTCAAAATTATTGTTTTTATTTTTATTTATTTTTTTAAAATGTTTATTTATTTTTGAGGCACAGAGAGACAGAGCATGAGTGGAGGAGGGGTAGAGAGAGTGAGGGAAACAGAATCCGAAGCAGGCCTCAGGCTCTGAGCTGTCAGCACAGAGCCCGACGTGAGGCTCGAGCTCACGAGCTGTGAGATCATGACCTGAGCCGAAGTCAGACGCCCAACCGACTGAGCCAGTCAGGTGCCCCATCAAAATTACTGTTTTTAAAGCACAGCATACCCAGTACAGAGAGATAGCTCAGCTTATCAGGAAAAGCCCTGAATTTAGCACCAGGAACTTTGAGACCACTCCTTGCATAGACTCTTCTGGAGTGTGATCCTGAGAAATTTATGTAACTTTTCTAAGTTTTTTCTTTTCTCATATTTCATATGCAAATAATGCTGCAAACTTGCTATTATATTTGAAAAGCATAAAATATGGGGCAGCTGGGGGACTTAGTTAAGTGTCTGACTCTTGATCCCAGCTCGGGTCATGATCTCACAGTTGGTGAGATCGAGCCCCATGTCGGGCTCTGTGCCGACAGGACAGAGTCTGCTTGGGATTCTTTCTCTCCCTCTCTGCCCCTCCTCCACTATCTCTGTCTTTAAAAATAAATAAGTAAACGTTTAAAAAAAGAGAAAAGCATAACATACAGGAAGTGGCTTTGAGGAGCCATTTACGTTCATATGGTACTTTTCTACCCCCATCGGCATGTTCTAAAAATCAAGGTCATAGAGTCCAGAAATGGTACTGGTGTTACTATTACAATAACAACAACAGCCGCTACAATAACAGTAATAGCTGATACTTGCTGAGAATTGACTATACGCCTGCGTTGTGTTAGCATCTTAAATAAATTAATCATTTGTGTCTCCTAAAGCCCTTTACGAAGTAGCTGGTGTTATTTCCCCCATTTTACAGACAAGGAATTGGAGACCTGGAGAAGTTACGTAACGTGCTTACAACCACACAGCTAGTCATCGCAAGACCGGGATTTGAACCCACGCTTGGACTCTGGAGGCCAAGCCTTCACAGTGACACTCTGTTCGAATAATGATCGTCAAAGAAGCTTACAGGTGGATACTGCTTCTTTCATAAGGACGGTCTCACTTTGTCCATGCAGCAGCCCTGTGAAATCGAGGCTATCATCATTACTCCACAGGTGTGAAACGGGGGTCAACAAGCTGAAGAAACTGGTCCAAATTGGCCCTGCGCCAGAATAGTGGAGTCCGACCGTTGTGCCACTGGGCTGGGGATCGATTACTGCTCCTGTGATGTTCCTGGCTCCGCTCTGCTTCTACTAGCCCCTCCCTCGCGGAGCATGCCCTCTCTGAGGACCCCAGTTGAGTCCCGGTGTGGTTTTGTTTGTTTTGACAGTTCTCTTTTCTCTCTCATTCTCTTCAATACTCTATGATGCATGAAACTCATTGTTTCTATAGGCATCACGCGGTTCTGCAGAGCTTAGCGTGAGCTACAGTGGGCTTCTAGCCTGGGGAGGGTCACTGGCACTTAAGGACATCATCGTTGGAAGGATGGCTCCAGGTGAATTCAACTTCTGATGTCAAGGTCACCTCCTACCTGGGTGTTGAGCTCACCTTGATTCACACTTCCTCAGAAGGAAACACAAGGCTGTCCGTAGATGGAGTTTGCACGAAGTCATTGCTCCCTGCAAATTTTAGAAAGGCACCCTGTTTCCTGTTGTTTGTGGTTTTGAACTCTCCATCACCTGGCCTTGATGAACCTGTCTAAACCCTCCAGACTGCAGTCTGTCACTTATGTCATTTTTTTCTCTGGGCTGTCATAGCACCCTGTGCTTGAGATATTCCTTTGACTAGAACTCCCCTGTGTTAACCTTTGGCTTGGCTACCATGGTTTCAGCTAAGATGTGACCTATCACACAAAATCTTCCTTGACTTCCTAAACCGCACATCTCTCCCATGTCATGGAATCTCTTTGAAAAAAAGACTCTCTGTGGGGGCACCTGGGCACCTGGGCTCAGTCGCTTAAGCATCCGACTTTGACTCAGGTCATGATCTCACGGTTAGTGAGTTCGAGCCCCACATCAGGCTCTGTGCTGACAGCTCAGAGCCTGGTGCCTGCTTTGGATTCTGTGTCTCCCTCGCTGTCTGCTCCCCCCACCCCACCTCTCTCTCTTTCTCTAAAAAATAAATAAATATTAAAAAAAAGACTCCGTTCATCTTAGCATTTGTTACATTGTCCTGTTTAATATCCTTCTCCCGCACTACGCACTGAACTCTTTGAGAGCAGTGGTTTCTAGCATCTTCTATAATGCTTGGCACATAGTAGGTGCTCGATGAATAGCTGTTGATTAAATGTTTGCTTCGATCTCTGAAGGCACCAAATATCTTACAAGGATCTCTTTACTGATGTCCCTGCCTTCTAGACTATGAGTTTTCTGAAGAGGCGGACATTCTGCCTTGCTCAACGCCTTCTCCACAGTGGCTGACTTGGAGGACGCACTCAGCAAAAGAGGAACTGACCAGAATCAGATCCTCAGCTTGCCCTGCCTCCTCGGAAATGTATCCCTCCCCACAACTGCCCCATATCCCATTTTCCATTTCTAATGTCTTCATTTAATGGCCTGATCTACATAATTTAGCATTTGCATAGAGTACTCTCTCACTTCTCCTGTGTCTTAGGTGTTCATATCCCTCCCCTGCTGGTGAATCCTTAAGTGCAAGGTTAAATGGCATAATGCTTTTTTGCTTGTATGACTTGTACCCACCTTTTTTTCGTATTTCAAAAAATATGTATTCCTTAGTGATCAACGCCTACACTTAATAAGCTCATAAAATGTGCAACTGTGTAAGTGCTTTACATATAGGTTATGTCGCTCTCCATGACGACTGTAAGAAATAGGCATTGGGGAAACTGAGGCTTGGCAAGGCGATGTCTTATCCAGGTGGTGAATAACAAAAGCAGAATTGAACCACAGAGTCTGTGCTTTCGCCCCTTTCTACTTCTTCACCATGGTCAGCTTAGACAAGCGGAGAAATAAGGAGAGTGATATTAAGAGCCTCATAATTCCAACCCAGCACTTGGGGCAGCCAGTGTTAACATTTTCATACGTGGCTTTCCAGTGTGTGTGGTGAGCATGTCTCTCGATGACCCCCATGTCCAGCTCTTCACACCCTGGTGGAATTCCCCTCCTCCCCCTGAGCGAGGGCTGGATTTAGGGATTCACTTCTTTCTTGATTTTTTTTAATGTTGGTTTATTTTTGAGAGGGAGACAGAGCGTGAGCAGGGGAGTGGCAGAGAGAGGGGGAGACAAAATCCAAAGAAGGTTCCAGGCTCCTAACCGTCAGCACAGAGCCCGACATGGGGCTCGAACTCACAAGTGGTGAGATGGTGACCTGAGCAGAAGTCGGACGCTTAACCAACGGAGCCACCCAGGCGCCCCAGTGATTCACTTCCACTGAATATAATAAAGCAGAAACAATTGAATGTGGCTTCTGAAATGAGGTTATAAAATGACCGTGACTTCCATCTTGAGTCTCTCTTCCTCTCTCTGAGATCCCTCATTCTGAGAGAGGCAAGCTGCCATGGTGCCAACAGATCTATGAAAAGTCCATGTGATTAAGTAACCAATGATTCTGATCCATAGCCAGCAAAGATCTGAGACCTGCCCACTGCCACGAGGATTAGTCTGGAGGCAGCCCCACCCCATTTGAGCCTTGTGGTGGTTGTCCCACTCAAGATACTGCTTCTGGCTTTGTGTGAGAGAGTGAGCCAGAGACACCCAGCTAAGCTGTGCCTGGATTCCTGACCCAGCATCTGCGGGATAATACATTTTTGTTGTTAAAGTTTTAACTTATGGCTGTGATTTGATACACAGCGATAGGTCAGTAAGACACAATCCTACATACATTTATATAAACATGGTGACGCATCTATGTTTTGCTATTTATCACAGATCAAAATTTAATTTATTGCGTGAAACAAACTGTGAAGTCATGCTTGGGTCTAACAGTCTTCTTTAAAAAACTGTTTTAGAAATCGTGAAATACAGCCACACGCAGAAAATAACGCAAGGCGCAAACACGCAGCTGAGAGGATCGTACGCAAACACCCAGATTCCCATTTCAATATATTTTATTTTTTAAATAAAATAAATCTGCAGGGTATACGCAAAATCAGTAACTATTTCGTCTTCAAAGAGAAGAAGAATGGAAAGCCAAACAGAGGCATTATTTTTGGATGGTTTATGAATTAGAGTCTCTGAATCGGTATGAAATACTGCCATATACTTTCCTTTGACCATCTAAAGAAGAAATTCTTAGTCAAAATCTTTAGTCGTCAGGAGGAAGTCTAGGAATTATGCCATGGTGGAGAATAAATAATACACAGGGACAGAGTGGGCCCTCAGTACAAAACCGCTGAATGAATGTGGAATTTGAACCATGGGTTTATGCTCTTAGTTGCTTGGAAATGTGTGATGCCATCACTCGACATATCTGAGCCTTAATTTCCTCATCCTTAAAATGGGAACATGCTCAGAAAGTGATGACTTTCAGAGAAAACGGCCATGTTTATGAAAACCTTTTGCAGAACACTTGGCACGTGACGAGCTTGCAATCCATCAACTGCAACTGAATGATAATTCGCATTTCAGGATACCAACAGTGATTTGCCAGGATATAAACCTTAAGGAAACTTATGGCTCTAAAACATAGTAACTTCAGGGGCGCCTGGGTGGCTCTGCTCAGTCGGTTGAGTGTCTGACTTGGGCTCAGGTCATGATCTCACAGTTTGTGAGTTCGAGTTCCACATTGGGCTCTGTGCTGACAGTGCAGGACCCATTTCAGATCCTGACCTCCTCTCTCTGCCCCTCCCCCTCCCCACGGGCTTGCGTGCTCTCTCTCTGTCAAAAGTAAACATTAAGAAAATAATAACTTCATTTCTTATTAAATGATAAATGCTCATAAAAGATAATTTTTAAGAATACCTTTTAAAGGGGGTGCCTGGGTGGCATCTGGGTGGAACCTGCTTAACGTTCTCTCTCTCTGCCCCTCTCCCCCACTCGTGCATGCTTTCCCTGTCTCTGTCTGCCTCTCAAAACAAAACAAAAAGAATCTTTAAAGCACAAAGAAGAAAGAACAAATCACTCTAAAATTCCACCAGCAAGAAATAACCAAGATTAACCCTTGGTGGATGTCACTCCAGATACCCCTGTGCATAGATGAGTGGGTTAGAAGTATGGAAGGCTATTTTAGGTAGGTAAATAGCCAGTTAACTAGAGATCATACTTGACACGCTTATTCAAATAAAACATTTACTTAATTTCACTTGAATGTAACCAAAGAAAGATAAACCGAAGTGAAACCAAAGGAATTGCTCAAACTTAGCTCATGTTTTTTTTCTCTACTGCCAGCAAGAGTATTTCCTCAAACATCTCTCTCGTAAGGCTAAGTAAAAACTTGATGAAATCAATTAAGTTAGTGTCATTTTTTTTTTCCTTTTAACTTTTCAGGCAGTACTAATTAACCTCTTACTATAAAGGATGAAGTGATTCATACCGATACTCTCTCTCCGTTTCTTTTGCCTCCTGACTTCTGTTACTCTTATAAATTTAAACTTGAAATAATTGATAACACATTCTGTTCAGCAATAAATAATTTTGCTCTCGCGCTGTTGTTTATCCTTGTTTAAATGGATTTAATCCGCATTGTTAGTTCTTTTAACAATAACTTGACCCTAGAGGGGGGTGTCTGTGAATGCAAGTATGTATTAGATAAATTCATCTTGTAATTGAATTAACCTTCAGTATATTTCCCCAAAGGGCTCATATAGTTCCTGAATTCTTTCATATTTGAAAATGTTTTCAGTTTTAATATTCTTGAGTTACACTTTCCTCTACTCAGGACTTTTGGGCATTATTCTGGTTTCTTCTGGAAAAATATTGGTGTGGAGGGGTGCCTGGATGGCTCAGTGGATTAAGCGTCCAACTTCGGCTTGGGTCATGATCTCACTGTTCGTGAGTTCAGGCCCCTCATCAGGCTCTGCACTGACAGCACAGAGGCTGCTTGGAATTCTTCTGTCTCTCTCTCTGCCCCTCCTCTGCTTGTGCGCACGCTCTTGCTATATCTTTCTCTCTCAAAAGTAAATAAATAAACTTAAAAAAAGAAAAAAAAATCTCGGTGGGGAGAAATCTGAGCCAGCTGGATCCCACCTCACTACCTTCTTTGTGCCTAGATGACGTCACTCTCTATAGTTAATGTTGATCAATGTATGTTCAGTGTCTCCGTATAAATTGTGGTTTTTTCCCCCTAGTATATTAACTTCTCATGATGTGTGGATTCAGTATTTTTCTAATAGAAAGAAAAACTTGTGAAATTACATCTGTGAAACACTCTTCCATTTGTTGGGCACTGTTCTTAAGAAATATAAGTGATCTTTAAGTGGGTCCACTTTGAAGTCCTTGTCTGTTCTCTGCTGGTTTGCATTTATTTATTTGATCTGTAAAGATGTTGCTTTGGCCCCTGATTGTTTCCTTAACCTGGCCATCTTCCTTTTCATCCCAGCGTATTGCTTCATCATCTTGTTTTTGAGTCTTGTATAAATGACACCACACTGAGATTTTTATTGTCCTTTTTCAGATGGTGTCTCCTTTTCCTTCTGTGTTTTAGAATGCTCGAATAGTTAAAATGCCATTTCCCCGAGTTTTCCTTATGCTTTGTGTGGGGAGCTTGGCCCAGACCTTCTCTTTGCTCTGATCCAATGTGGAAAAGATAGCCTTCGATCAGGTGGTCTTGTTTTGTTACTTGTAGTTAAAGTGATTGGACTGGATGTTCCTTCTCTGAGTACTCTTCCGGATGCTGGGGACAGGCCTGTAGCTCCTGCTCGGCACAACACTTTTTCTTCTAAGACCCACCTCATATCCTGGGTTAGGCGCACCACCAGCCATTTGGGTGTGTTTTCCTATTCATTCCACCGTCTTTGTACAAATCCAGTCCCAGCAGCCCCTGCTCCCTCTGCACAGATTTCCTCTGCTTCACCAGTGCTCCATTTTCATTGCCACTGTCCT